ACTGGGACATGTGTTTGCTGTGAGGCTCAGCTGCAGTCCCAAAGTGTTCTAGTGTGAGAATTTAATCTTATTTTCAATAACTGGTATTAGGCAGGCATGTTTTCATTACTATGAAAACTTCAATCCTCAGTATCACAAAGTGCTATTTCCATAGGAATCCAGCTGCGTTGGACTGTCTTATTTTGGTGCAAACTAGTAGGGACATGAAGATAAAAGGAAACTCTTCTCTTGCATGTAATATTTTTGTAATGAAGATTTTTGTTCATGTCATGTCACCTCTGTTTCCCCGAGTCTCAGTCAATCAATCACTTGGGTCTACCTAAGCCTGTGTGCAATCCTATTGACCTTATTGAGGCTGTACTTGAGCTGTCATTTGAGTTAGACACTCCATTCTGGGTGCTTAAAATCCCACTGTTTTTTTTGTTGTTGTGGGTGAAAATACAGGTTCCTTTCTAATAAACACTGATGAGTTGCAGTAACCCCTGCACGACGAGAGCAGAAGATGTTAACACTTCAAAACATTTATATTCTGTAAATGGTATTCCTATTTCTAACAAGTTAGATTGCAACAGTTGGATCCTTATCAAATGCTCAAGGTTCCTGTTAGGGAAAAGGAGTAGCTGAGTTCTGGAACAGGAAAGCCTGTTTTTCCCAATTCCAAGGCATCTCATCTTCATACACAAGGATTTCTTTTAATATATGAAGCACAGTGTATTTCAGAGCTTTGGGGCTTTAAGGTGAGTTTGTTGAAGATGTTAATGAACTTGGAGAGTGGGGGGGACCCCCTGCTGCCTCCTTCATTGTGAATTGCTTCAAAATAGGATGGCAAAACAATCTCTGTCGAGTGTCTGACTGGCAAACGCTGCAGTCAGCTATTTTAAACAACATTCTGCATTTTATTAGCTGCTGCAAATTACTTTCCACAACACAACTACTTTCCTGCAAGCACGTTCCTGCAATAGGTGCAATGGAAAAACCTAGTCTGTTTACTATCAGCTTAAGCACTTGAAAACAGTCTTTAATTAAATCTCTCCCTGCCTGTCCCATCTAGGCATGCGCGTTAGCCTGTTTCATAACTTCTGCATGATGCTACTGAGAGCAACGATCGCTGCTGGCAGTTGGCTTGTACTGTTACTGCTGTATCTGCTGCTTGTACTCAGAGCCCATCAGCTGCTCCAGAAACGTATGGCTGCTTTCGGAGTTCCCGGTCACTCACAAATGTGCTCTGGATTCTTATGTGTCGTAAATGTGCCAGGAAAGACAACGTTTACCTGCCAGTGAAGAGCCTCAGAAACTTATTGTCGTTGGGAGTCCGAGTGTGACCGGTGACACAGAGTCTCTTGGGTCTAGTAAGTTTATCCAAACCCAGTAATAGTTTGAACGATTTTATTAACGATAACATTGAACATCTTGCATAAAGTGCTTGCTGGCAATTAGCTAGGCTAAAGAAAGGGACAGGGAGTGGATGCACATATACGCCCATTTTCTGTAAAATAAATATGTAAATGACCTCAACCGCAGAGAAGAGATTATCTGTTGTGGCTCATGTATGCAATCTGCCTCCTGTGAGTCAAGAAACTGGTGTTTAGCTTGGAGTCCAACTCCAAATTCTTCACTGTAAACACTGGGCAAGCACTCACCAAGCTTCCTGAAGGGACCTCAGGAACCTCACTAATCCACACTATAGCTCATTCAAAGCAGTGAACACGGAGCTGAACGGAGCAAGGGGAAACACTGATTTATTATTTTGGATAAAAATGCTTAAGTGAGTCAGGTGCCCACCACCCACCGACGTTCTCTGCACTTAGCAGATGTCTGCATCGCATGTGAAATTTGGGGTTTGGAAAGGATTTTTGTAAATTTTGTATGCATGAAGTAATGAAGGAGGTGAACTAAGACTAAAAAAGTTATCAAAATAAAGAACCAAGTTAGATTTTACCATAAATATCTTTATTTTTTTTTAATTGGAGTTGTGTACTTTTTCATAAAAGGTATTGATCTAGCAAAACACTTGAACATGAGTCAAAGTCAATGAAGCTAGCAGCATTACTCACCTGGTGAATTAAGCACAACTGTGAATGACAAAGATTAGGTGCTACTGCATACAGTCAATTCATTTGCAATAGGTTTCCCAGGAATTCTAAAACAGTCTAAAATAGATGAGACCATACTGTGTTTTTATGGTAAATTGGCACATTTGGACCATAAGCACTTTTGACACTCTTTGCCTGGGGTCATGGTGAACACCATAGGCTTCAGAGGAGCTGGATACTCATTGAGTGAGATCTGCTCCTCTTAGGAAATACAGCTGTGAAAACTAGACCCGTGCTTTTTTGCAATGAGTAGCAAATTTTCAGATCTTAGCCTTACAGTGACAGCTTCTACAAGGAAGGTAGCTATTGAATCAATATGGTTTTGAAAATCTTAGAGAAACTTCATTTAAGAAAATCATAAGGCATTATCCTGCAGTAGATCTGGTCATCACTGACCAGGTCTAATCTCAGTTTAGGTCTTAATGCAGTCAGTAGGATTTGTGATAATGGATTAACATTTGTATAAAAGGCATACACAAGTCAAGTACAAGTATTGCTAAATTAACTCCTCATACAAAGTATACGAATAATGCACTGTAAACAACTGCTTCTCATAGGTGCTTCAGATTCCAGGCTTTAATAGTTGCTTGTCATCTTTGGTTAATGCAAGATTTTTTCTGTCCTCAGGAGATCCACTACAACAGCTGAACTTCTGCAAACTCAATCCTTGCTTGATTACCCAGTTCCATATACTTTGAAGAACAAATCAACCACATCAATGTGTAAACCAAAACAACCAAGTGAGATGTATTTTTTATGTTGCTAACATACAAACATGTGCATATGTGTGTGTATATATACACGTGTACATGTATCTTTCTCTATCTCCACGTATGTGAACACACTCCTCCTCACTCTGCCCCAGGGAGCACCTAGGCCAACAGATGCATTTAGCCTCTGCCATAAGGCCATCCAACATGAATGCGTGCCAGCATCGGGGGGCTGTTTAAACACAGACAAATACAACTATGCATTTCTAAAGTGATCATAAGAATTATTTTGATCATGACTGAATATGACCCTATAGAAAGAAGGAAAGTCCCATGACACTCCCAATGAACAGAAACAGTTGCACGGGCACAGTCCCTTTGCTTTGAACGTATCTGGTTCCTCCCCCTGCTGCTGCAATTGTGGTCTCAACGTTTCTGCCTCAATCATCAGTACCAGTTTCATTATGCGGCAGTGTCATCTGAAAATCCACTGGCTAGTCTCAAAAACTAAACCAGTTTCTGATGCAAAGGTCACTTAAATCCACTGTCTGTTTCCAGGTTTGAAAACTAGTCCGAAATATCCAGAAACTGAATTCTATCACAAATTGCTTTAAGTATTAGTGAAAGATTCAAAGGGGATTTAGAGAGAAGTGGAAGGTGTGTTTATAATCGTGTAAGAAAAGTAAGGAATTGGTCCTTCTGCATCACAGAGAATGTTTTCCAGTACGATTCTCACTGGTACCACATAAAAACTGTTAGCAAATCATCTAAGTTAGATATCCAAACACATCCTCTAAATGCATCTGTTTGCAAGGGCAGGACTTCCCCTGACTGTATTCTGTAGGGTTTTGTTTATTTATAAATGTCTATGAAGTCCACAGGGGGACTGTTTCACAGGTTCACGGCTAGAGAGCTTTTCCTGATTACACTTGGCTCTGTTCCCCTTACTTACTTATTTTCACTTCTAGCTATCGCCTGTAACTTCTTCTGTTATCGTAACTGCTCGGATGTTTTTTTCTAGTTTTTTGCTATCTGCAAAGGAAAGGGACAAACACATGTCAGGAACAGTGTACTTGTCCGCAATGTGCTATAGCAACGATCTGGTTCTCAACAGTGACATTTCATGCCATTTCATGGGTGCAACCATGGCAGACTAACAGCCATTTCCTCACAGCGGACTTGACTTATCTAATTTGTGGCTTGGCAGAAAAATTCATTCTTCAGTCCTTAGAGCTGAGAACTGAAATGTAGGCTTGCATCAAAACTGGTTTAATTCTTTAAAGTTGCTGAGTAAGCACTGTTCTCATTAGGAGTGCTAGGCCACCTATAAGTAGTTATACATGGATTCTGCAACCCATTTTAACCTTTTAATACTGGCATTTTTGACCAGTGTCCTGTACCTTCTCTACAGTCAATCGAAAAATGAAACACTGGGCCATGTTCCAGACAGAAGCTCCATATGTATTCCCTCGTGGCGCAGCCAGTTACCTTATGGTATTTTTAATACCCTGTGGAGTCCTCGCAGCACCCTAAACCCCTTCTGATACTTGGGAGAAACTGCACACTTCATCTACACGTCTCCCTTGTACTCATCCTGAACTCAGCCTTGACCTTTGACTGACCACCAACCCCACCAGACCTGGAGGAGACAACGTCAGGGTTGTCCTGGGGCCTTGGGCTGTTCTGGCTGTCATGCACCAGGGTTACATGGCGGGGTGAGACACATGGCAGGGATCAGGTCTTTCACAGCGTATCAGGATCCATTGCCAGGATCCATCCACAGGGAGATTTTTACCCATACAGAGTAGCCTGGTACTTTCTAAAGCAGGCCAGCTGGGCTGTCCCAAATGCATCCCTGACAGTTCTCCAGCAGGTGAGTGAGGTGGTAGTAACTCAGGTACACTTGTAGCCAGTGAATCTAGTGTTGTCTAGAGGATAGATAGCAAGCAGACAATAAATATTACCCATCGCCAAGTCCTGCAGAGTCCTGAAGACACAGGATGAAGGTACATCACCACTGAATCAATAAAACTATACTTTGGACCAGCCAGTCTCTCTTTAACTTTCTCTAAAACATCTCAGTAGAAAACAAGCCATAATCTATAATAAACGGAAAAAAATAGGACAGACTCTCTCACAAAAATTACATGTTCACAAAATAATTACATCGTTTTCCTGTTAATCACTGAATTTGTGTTTATAACTTGGTCAGATCATCCTGTAACCAGTCTGTAATCATGGCAGCCATCTCCTTGCTGGCATCTAGCACAAAGGCGTGACGGAGCCCTTTCTCACAAAGTCGAATGTCTCCGTCTGGAAAATCCATTTTGATCTCATCATAGTAGTGTTGTGGACACCAGCTGTCTCCAGTTCCATAGTAAAAAATCAGCTAGAAATAAAAGCATATAAAATCATTAATTTGAAAAGTTACTGGTGAAACAACCAATATCCAAACAAAGAGCATTGAATAATTTGGAAATAAGTGACTTCATGACTCAAGATAGTGAGGAATAGCAAATTGGTAGTTCTTGGTTGTTTCCAAGTCTGCAATTATGATGAAGCCCATTAAATCCTCTGTGACTCAGTTTCCTCGTCTGTAAAACTGTGGAACACAATACAGGCTAAAGCCTGAAAACGGAGATCTGCTAATGAAAGTCTGGCTGTCTTAAGAAAACTGTTATTATGCATCAGACAACCTAATTGTCCATGGAGTCCAACCCTAACCAGGCAAGCTGCTGTGTTTTCCCTAGCTCTTAGCTGTTTTCTGTGTAAGCTTTCTAGCTATTTAATCAAATAGCAAAATTACGAGTAAGCTTGATGCCACGTCCCAGCTGAAGGGGCTAACTATTATGGCTTTCTTCTGGATATAAACTAAGAGAAAGTAGGAAGTTAGTCCACATTTGTGAGTAGCTCAGTCTTACTGGCATCTCAAACCACACCTTGGTTTGGGCCTTAGGTGGAGGAACACCTATTTTTCTTAACCTCGGTGTTAGATGTAAACTATAGGTGATTCTCTCAGCCATGATGGAATAACAGCAATTATGGTCATTCTCAGAAGCAAAACTTTTATTGCTTGGAGAATTTTATAATCATAGAATCTTAGAATCACAGAATCTTTGGGTTGGAAAGGACCTTTAAAAGTCATCTAGTCCAACCACCCTGCAATGAGCAGGGACATCTTCAATTAGATGATGTTGCTCAGAGCCCCGTCCAACCTGACCTGGAATGTTTGCAGGAATGGGGCATCGACCACCTCTCTGGGCAACCTGGGCCAGTGTTACACCACCCTCATTGTGAAAAATTTCTTCCTTCTATTAACCTAAAATCTACCCTCTTTTAGTTTAAAATGGCTCCCCCTTGTCCTATCACAACAGGTCCTGCTCAGAAGTCTGTCTCCATCTTTCTTACAAGCCCCCTTTAAGTACTGGAAGGCTGCAATAAGGTCTCCCCAGAGCCTTCTCTTCTCCGGGCTGAACAACCCCAGCTCTCTCTCGTATCTTTGTGAAGTGCTGTCCGTGTAGAGCATAGTCACCTCCTGGAGATCAATGAGCAACTTTCTCCTGGATTGTAATGTGGAACTAAAATTCTACCAAAGTCTATTTTGTTTTGATCTTGCCCCGATATACTTGTGCAACAACATACACGAATCAGGTGCTACAGGGCCCACCTAAACACAAAAGTCAGAATTCCAGGCAAATATCATATCCAACGAAGTGTTTTTTCTCTCTGTTAGAAACACTGAATATCACTCT